TATTATTAAGTTTATGCCTTTCATTTCCTTTCCTTTACTTAGTTAACTTTTATTTTATTTATGTTCTTATCTTGTTTATTTATGTTTCTCTCTTTTATTATGTTCTTAACATGGACGTTAATGTTTGATACTAACATGTTTTGTATTTGTTATCTTGTTCACTCTTTAATACTGTACTTGTTAAATGACTAATCTAGATTTATATTATATAACATTTAGTACAATAAATGCTTGGCACTTTCATAGCACAAATCATATGGTATACCCGACACCAATGCTGTGAAAAGAACTTGATTTATTGTTAACATAAGTTATAATCATGAATACCTCACAACATTTACAAGTATTAACATTATTCAAATAAGATAACTAATGAAATCATGTTAATAATTTATAATCTGATTGGAATATTCTTTGTGTGTGGTTTCTATTTGAGTAATAAAAGTTGATACTATACTTGTTTGAAATACATTAGTGAATTTTCTAACCTTAACATTTGTTGTTATCGTTGTTTAATCCTCACATTGATCTTCCATCTCAAATTTTTCATTAACTTCTTTTTTTCTTCTTCTATTATTATTGTTGTTGTTGTTGTTGTTGTTGTTGTTGTTGTTGTTGTTGTTGTTGTTGTTGCTGTTGTTGTTGTTGTTGTCATCGTTGTATTGTTGTTATTTATAATTTATACAATTAACCTCCCTGTGGTTCGACCTCGGTCTTGTCAGGTTATCAATTATTTCAATACTCCTATACTTGGAAGAAGACATCAATCTTTTGATCGTGTCAAATGTATACTGAAAAGTAACTCCAAACTAAGCCTTTTATACTTCAGGTGTAGGTTAGTAATTATAATACCTATTACATCCTATTAAATATGAACAAACAGTACATGATTATATTAATTAAATGTGATGATACAAGTAATGAGATAATATTATTTTATTATTACAAGATTACATTTCTATTCTTCCTACGTTGTATGAAGTAGGTCAAGTCAAGTAATATAAAAGAGGGTATGAACATTCACAAAGGGGTTCAAAATCTTAGACTCATGTACATAATCACACTCTTTCTTCTTCTACATTTTCTTCCCTTTCATCTTCTTTATCTTCATAAAAACTCATTAATATCTTCATTAATGTTTTTTTGTCACATAAACATACCTCATGCTTGATCTTTGAAGAGTCTCTCATCAATACCTTCAATGATCTTGAAGAGACTTAGTGCAGGTATTCATCCAATAAAAGGTTTACAATCCCTAAAAATATCTATTAAGAAAGAAGCTAAGATAATCTTGAAGTGAAGCTCGTAATTCATAGTAACATACTATGAATGATTTATAAAAATGTTGATTTATAAAGATATTGAGAGATAATTCCTTTCAGAACATTTCTTATAGGTAACCTACGGAATATGCATGAGTGGGCATACATTAATTTCAAATACAGATGAAAAAAAAAGGTTGTATTTCTATATTGATTTAATAACTCTACGTCTCCATGAATTGTAGCTCGACTAGCATTAATATTGCCCCGGCTATTAAGAGATTTTAAGTTTTAAAATTTTCATAATAATAAAAAATGAATAAAGGAACCGAGAAAAAGAAAAGAAAGCTTCTATCTGAGGACAGATATTTCCACCATTAGGCGCAAGAATGAAAAATCACATACACATCCACAATTAAAGCATTATTTAAATTTACAAATATAGATTGGTATACCCAAATAACCCATTTCGCATATCCATGAAATCTTGATTTCCATCTACCTATGCTCCGAAGTATGAGTATATAATATACAATCATTAACCTTAATTATGGCCTCAACCCTCCCTAATTACCTATTTATAAAGAACACTTGGCTAGTTGTTCTCTGTAACTAAAACCTAGCGATACTGAGTTTTCTTCTTGGTTTACTGCAACCATCATGCTTAGCTTTTTTCAGCCTCGATCTCTTTCTATTGGCCAGGGTACATTAGGAAGGAGAGAGCTATTATTTGCTCATGTTACCTGAGATGTTCTTGAGAAGCACAACTATGAATTCTGAAGTTAAGTACAATATAGTAAGTAGTAAATTGATCATCAGGCCACAAAATCTGGCAATAATTGTGCAGGAAACCTCTTTCTGTTTTGGATGTCAATGCTTTCAAAACCAGTGCTGGAGTGAGAATTTTGTGAGGTGTTAATCCCAGAAAAGTCAGGTTCAGTACCGCTTCCAATTTCTAGTCTTCTTCCAGCGAGCTGATTAATGTTCTGGTTCGAGAGGTAGTTTTGTTGAGTTCCTGAAAGAGAAAGGTTCTCACAATGTGGCAGACCAAGAGTAAGGGAAACACTGTTTCCACTAAATCTTGGTGTCATCTGCTCAAGGTTAAACCTCCCAAGATCTCCCATTGGATATGCTCCAAATCCACCACTGCTAGTTATTAAAGGATAGCCATCCTTGATTAACCTTTCACCACCAAAATTCGCACTGATTTCCCTACTTGTCTCACCTTGTTTCACGTCCATGTCCATGGAGAGGATACTGCTTGGAGAATTCTGCATGTCACTACTCGGTTTCTTTGAGCTTCTATGAGAAATTCCTTCCATTTCAGCTGGTCCAATAAGGGTAAAACCAGCTTGCTGTTGAAGGGGTGCTCCCATGGGAGACATTGAGATTGCGGGGTAGGAAAATCTTGGAGGAGAAGTATTCTGGTTCCTGGGTTTTTCGACTTGTTTCGAGTGAAGTACTCCCTTAAGTTGATCCATTTGAAGTGTACTGCTCTCTCCTGGTGCGCTAGAATGAGACCTCGACTCCTTGTTCTCGTTTTTATTTGCAGTCTCCTCAGAACCAGTTTTCTCTTGCCCCTTGATTTCCTCAACATACATTTCCTCCACCATTGGCTTCCACAGCCGAACCCGAGCATTTATAAACCAATTAGACACCTACATATGATCAAATCATAAATGTGATGGAGATTAGATAATTCATAGCAGAAGGATATTACATTCTCTATAATTTATTAATTCTGATTACAAAGAAGAAGTTTGAATCTAAAACCTCCGAGAAAGAGAGAGAATGAGTATAGTACTTGGGCTACATGTTGATTGGCTACTCTATAATTTATTTTCCAGAGATATATATTGGGAATGAAGAGGATTAGGGTTCATACCTGGCTCCTAGTAAGCCCTGTTTGTTTTGCAAGCATGTGCTTATCAGAATCTTTGGGATATCTGCGTTCAACCAGAAGCAAAAAATTTGTAACAAAATTAATCAACCCAAAAGTAGCCAATGCATGCGTATGCACGATACCATATACTTTTAAGATCATATACCGAAAACTATTATTGAAACCTCGTCTTGAAGGTAGGTGAAATTTCAAAAATGGTTTTTATTATGCTCATGTTTTAGACTACTGAGACTTCCAGAAACTTACGGGTGAAGGAAGTGCTCAAAGAGCCAGGCGCGAAGAACGGAAACAGCACGTTCCGGCAATCCTCTCTGGGGTCTCCAAGCATTATGCTGGACCATTCCCAATTGTTGTAGTGCTCGCTGTTGTCGAAGCTGATGATCCACGTACCTTAGTCTTGAACCTTCAACCTTTGCTCCTATGCAATCCTCTTCACCCAAACTCTTGCTTGCGGCTCTGATTTGCGAAGAAATTGTGTCTTTAAGACTCCTGAATTGCTTTGAGATAGTCTGTAATGCTAGGGCTGTGTATGATTTAGCTGCACCAAATCCTGATGCTTGCTCGAACGAGGAAACCACTACTTGCATTTGGTGGTGGTATTGCCTGTATCTTTGTTCCACCTTTGAAAGTTTCCAAAGCAAGAAAACAGATTTTAAGTACTATACGTAGGACCACTTTAGACTTGAGGACTATATAGCATGTTTCAAGTTGCATTTCGTTAGTTCATCACAACCACACAAAAAAGAAAAAGAAAAAGGAAGAATCAAGAAAAACAGCTGGGGTAATTGATATAACCAGAGATACCATAGTTTGTCTGAAATGAAATCGGCTTTGTTAATGGACCCTCTTTACTGGGACCTAACTTTAAAGCCATAAAAGACGAACATATATAATTTGTATATTACTGAAAATGAACTCTCTCTTGCTCTACAAATGCCCATCATGTTCTAAGCTATAAGTAATCTCTTCTTCTTCTTCTTCTTCTTCTTCAAGATTGCTTTTTCAATGTCCATGAAACCACCAAGATGAACCCAAATGCAACCCGATGATTGCTAGATAAAATCTAATCTTTGTTTACAAGTTGAAGAACATCGAGCCATGACAGGAATAAGCATCCAATTTCAAATTTCACAAGCAAAGAAACTACAGATATATAGTAATAGCAAGGCCTAATTTGGATTGTATATAGATTTAGTGGCAACAAGATTTTTTAGTGATGAATTCATCTTTAGAAGGTACAAAAATCAATTGACAAAGACCTTACTCTAGTTCTAACCGAACTTTCAATTTCCACTATTGAAATGGCACACGTGAAATTACGTGGAGCGTATGAAAGGTAAGTTTTCAGTAATTTACATCTTCAAAGATGAAAAATCTAAAGCAGCCATCAAAGAAAAGCAGTCAGAGATACCCATGTGCAACTTGTTTTATAAACACAGATATATGTACGTACCTCGTCGAGCATGTTTACAAGCTTTCCCTTCTTCATTTGCAGCTCCTGCCTATGGGCTGTCGTCAGCTCAGCTCCACGATTAGCAGCATAAGCTTCACCACCACTAGATCCATCCCCAGTTATCGATTGTTTAGTCATCTTCATCTTCTCTTTAGAACTCCCTTCTAAGCCACTCTTTATTAGGTCTTTCCCAACATTAACAGCTTCATCAAGCAATTCCTGTGTAGCTCTCAGGTACTTGGATCCCAAAACCATGTTTTGCAAACCGGAAACCCCATTCGACACTGCCGAAACAGACGACGGAGAGTTCCCAGAAACTCTGATTTCATCACCTGAAGACACAACCGAAACATAAGGATGCAATGCTTGAATCTCGTGATGTTTATTGCTTATAGCCCTATTATACGGTGTCGGTGGTGTCGGTGCTTGCTGAGATGAAAGGCTTAGAGATAACCCTTGCCTTCCAGGAGACACCGCCACCGGCCTCCGAAAACCCACCTGCGCCGACACGACATCATTGGCCGCACTAGACTCACAAGCTGTTGAGACCGAATTCTGATCCATTGAACCCCAAATGTTATAGTGAACATGACTAGGGACAATCCCATGTGGGGACGGACGGCTGTGACTGTCTGGAGTTAGAGAAGTGATATTGGAGGAGGGTGCAGCAAGTGGGATGCCGACAAAGTGGTGGTTCTGCGGGGGGCCATGAGGAAGGTTTCCGGTGTGAAGGCCATTATTGGAAGCGGCAGTACTACTACTGGGGTTAAAGAAGATCATGTTAGGGTGCTGCTGTTGGTGCTGCTGTTGAGTCGAGTCAGAGTAAGAAGAAAGGTAGTTAGGGTTCATAAGATAAAGTGTCTGAATCCCATCAGATGGTGCAGCTGCTGCTTGGATTTCTGAGCTTTCATGAAAGTACGTTGCCATTTAATATGATTCACAAAAGGCAAAATCAGTAACCCTTCGAGAGTCACTCCTATATATGCAAGAAAAAATTATGTGTCCAAGCTTGAAGCACTGAACAAATTAAGGATCAGCCCATTTTGATGATCGATTGAGAGGAATTGGATCCGGACTTGAGTCTGGCGAAATTCTGGACAAAGAAACAAGAGCAAAAGAGACTGATTATGAATCCATCTGTGTGCGTCTATATATATATATATAAACATGATAAAACAAAAAAATCCAAAACAAGTATGTGTGTGTGTGTTTTTGTAGTCTACAGCACAAATCACCTACTAGGTAGCTAGAAACTTGTGTTTTTGTAGTCTACAGAACAAATCACCTACTAGGTAGCTAGAAACTTAAAAATCTGATCCGAAGAAGAAAAAGGAAGAAGGTGTAGAGTATGGGCTGAAGATGTTTATATATAGCTCGCTAGAAAGGGAGTGGACAGGAGAGAGAGAAATTAGTTAAGAACAGGACACAAACCCCATCAAAGATCTTCATCCAGAGACAGCAGATTAATGTATAAATAAAGAAAACAAGAAGTTGTGAAAAATGGAAAGGAACCCATCAAAGAAGTTGCAGAGACAGGTTCAGCAATCAGTACCATTCAATTATGATTAAAGCAAGCAATTGCACACGAAGGAAGGAAGGAAGCAGTAATTGTGCTTTTCATAAAATAAAATAAAAAAAGAAAAGAAAAAACAGAAAAAGCAGTAGTAGAGCTACCTATTTCTATCTATCTATACAAGGACATGAGTTAAATATATATGTATCCAACAACAACTGTTTACCAAGACAGCAAGAAAGCTCTTTAGACTACTCAGGTAGGGGTCCGATGATCTCGTCAGAGAGAGACCCCTTTTTTCCCTGCCGTTCTCCAAGTAAAAATGATAATGATAAATACAAAAGAAAGATAGAGGCTTTAAAAGGTCTCACAAGAAAGATACCCTCCTTTAATTCTTCACTCAACCGTACTTACGTTTATGGTCTTTCTTTTACATTCTCTCAATTATTTTGTGACATTAACTATGGTCTTTCTTTCACATTCTCTCAATTATTTTGTGACATTAACAATACTAAATTTCGAGCTCGGAAAAGAGGCCGAGATCGAAAGGGAAATTTAGGAAGGGATTAAGATAAAATACTAAATATCTGGAAATAGCTCACAAGCCCGGGCTTTAATAGCTAGGGCAATAAAATTATAAAAAAACGATGTTGTTCTTACCAACATTATAAAATTACAAAGATATCTATTCCCAGATGCTATTACATCCTAATGGAATTTATTTTAAAGGCATTTGAAAGTAAATGTCTTTTCTATCCAATGTTAGTAAAACCCTATCAAAATTGATAAAAATATACAACAAAGGAGGTATAGCTACGAAATAATTATTTTATTTTATAATAGTAATGTTTTTCAATGCAAGTGAGTGCATACTATATTCAATGTTAAACAAGATCAGCACTCTAAATCATAACGAAGGGTCGGTGTTTATATATATATATATATATTATTCTTAATTAGTAAACTTATTATTACAATACCCAGCTCATCGGTATTTTGAGTTAGGCAACTTGGGTGGATGAAAAAGAAGAAGAAAAATTCCAGTGACTTGACCCTGCTTCTCAAATCATTTGATGCAGGCACGTTTGACAGGGAACTATAAATAAATACGACAGATCTGTCTAGCCAGAGAGAAAGAGAGAGATAGGGTTTGATCTGTAAGGAAAGTGGGTCAGCAGAACATAAGATACAAGCAGCTGAAAAACGAGGAAATGTCTTCTTCCACAAAGGGCTTTGGATTGATTACAGTTAGCTAGAGAGAAGAAAGGTCAAGGAAGTCCTCTTATTGGCCTTTCGTTAGACCTTTGAAAAATATCTCTTTGTCCTCCATTATTTATACAACTTTCTGTGTGTTTGTGTGATTATAATTTGCTTGCCTTTTTCTTTTTTTTCTTTTTTTTTGGATGCAAGGGAGGATAAAGTGTTTGTGAGACACCTAGTAATAATCCCCACTCTTTTGAAAGCAACTTCCATTATCAAACAAAGTTATTCAAGTGGCCCTCGAATATTTAATGTGTGTTTGTTTCGATCGGCTTCTCGCACAAACAAACCCTAATGTAGCTTGTGAAGGCATATATATTGCTAGTTCCAACTATTACTAAGCATCTCAAATTAATTTGAGCATGCTTATAAGTCGCACAAATAAACGTACCTTTAATCTAGCTAGTGGAGGCATATATGTCACTACTCCCATCTATTATTAAGCATCCTGAAATTAATTTGATTTAAAGCACAACTTGTAGTTATTTTTTTTTGGTGAAAAAAGATGTATATAGATAGGTTGAGTAGATATAATTAGATGACAAACATTATGATTTTTACTATCACACGCATATAAAAATTATAATGTTTCCCCTTGATTTTAGTTTAACGAAATACCTATATTTTTTATAAAAAAAAAAATAAAAAGTGATATTTACAACTTTTGTACAAAAAGACATTAATGGAAGGAATTTTATTTTTATTTTAGCAAAAAAATGGGATTCTAAATAAAATGAGAGTGGTGTTATCCCCACTACACTTTTTATTATTCTCACTTTATTATTTATTGAAAAGACTAAACTAGCCCTATTAATATTTTTTCTTTAATTTTATTAAAACTTTAAAGTAGACATTCTTTACACTACCAGAAAATTAACAAATATAAATAAAAATACCCTTCAAAAGAATTGAATTGATAAATTATAGTAAAATTTCCTGACATACTACTTTCTCATTATATGTCTTGGTATATGTTATTGAAAAAATTTTGTTGATATACCATGAAATTACAATGAAAAAAAATAAAAAATATTCTTCAATAAAAATATTATAGAAAAGATAATTCATAAGTAAAATGTAAAATTCTGATAGTATTATATTTTTAAAAAAATACAAAAAATAGTACACTATGTCCAAATATCTATGACTTTGTTTTCCAAAAATAAAAGTCATGTAATTTGTTTCTTCTAAACTTAATATTGAATTGGTAATAAATAATGTGAATTTTATAAATAAGTTATGATGTAAATTAAATATAAATATATCATTTTATTAAGAAGTGAGTTACTAGGCTCAACCTATTAACTTTAAATGGAATGAAACTCCACTTATATCACCTTAACTAACTACTCGAGGGCATTCAAACAAATAAACTAATATAATTACATGAATAATATGTATTAATTGATTATTTCAATAACAAATTAAATTCATTAATTTTTTATTTATAAATAAAAGGTCTGAATTTATACTTTTTATAGAAAAGCCAGACATATAGGCATTAGGCGCGCGCACATCATCAAACTAAAACTCATGGTATATATACACAAAAGATTAATTTTTTTTGCATATTAATGAACTAAACTAAGAATTGCATCTAAGTTGGCATCCAAAGGCAGCGAAGAAATTAATAACCAATATCGGTAAAAATGTACATTTTATATCCTATTGCAAGGTGTGTGCGCTTATATATATATATATAAAGATTGTTGTAGGACAGCTAAAAGTGCTTGTAAACTGTCCTGGCAATTATTAGAGGTTTCCTATTTGAACCAATATAAGCATGCCGGTGCCAGCAGCGCGCAATGGAATCTTATGTTTGTGTGCTTGACTTGGTTATCATTGCAAGCTTTTTCTCCATTCTTGTTGCTTCAACTTCAAGGTGATCGTATCGCTGTGCTTCTACTCTCTTATCTCAATCTTGTCACTCTCATTCATTTTGAACATGCCTAGCTTTACTAGGGTTTGCAACACCTTTTCGCTATAAAGAAAAGACTACTGCCAAATCAGCAGTGAAAAAAAAACTTTGGCTATTATAAAATCTTGTGATTACATCACCAACGAGTCAGATGGCTAGCTCACTCAAAACCCATCACGAATCACCAAAACCTGTAGTTTTTTTAGTTAATTATTCCATGCATCATGGATAAATTCTGTAATGTTTAATTTATAGATTAAAAATGTTTCTGAGACCATAGATCCTTGTCAACTTATGCTTAAAAACCAAGCCATGGAGAAAAGTAATACAAGGTCGCGTGCTTTTCCTGAACTGCTTATATTGTTTTTTGGCTTTCCCTTTTTGTTAAATCACTAAATAATTGCCTGTAGTACAGTATAATTGCCTGGATAAAATTTTTTTAAATTAAATAAAATATATATCCAGATAGTATTAACATGATTTCTAGCATAAGAGAAATTAAATTACGTGAATTGATTTGATATAATTTAATAAACTTTACAAGTTTAAAGATAACTTGAATATCTAATAAAAATATAGTTTAACTAAAAAAATCAAAAAAATATTTTTTAAAATATCAAGACAACAATATATTGGATTTACTCGGATCAACTTATGTTAACTAGCTAAATCCTCGACTTAGATCATAAAACTGTGATAATCTTGTAGAAAATAAACAAAAATTTATTTAGCCAAACTTTCAATCAACCTGATATTGAAGGTCAAAAAGCAAGATTCAATTAGAGAAATGGGCTGACTCAACCTAAGTTAATATGTTATATTTGATACATGAGAATAAAAGAATTTTATAGAAAAATTTAAAATAATTATAAAACTCAATTCTCTGTTAACTTAATGTTGTAAGATAAAATTGAAAATAAAATTAATTAAAAAAAGAACATAAAGAATCACTCAAGTTAACTTATCAAACATATGACTCAAGTTATAAGGCCAAAATAACTTCATAGAAAGTAAACCAAAATACATTATGAACTTTAATTCTCAACCAACTCAATATTAAAGGATGAAATTGAAAAAAAAAAGAACATTAAATGAAAAAAAAAGAAACAAATTGAGGCAATCAAGCTGACCCATGACCTGAGTCATGAGATCATGATAACCTTATAGAAAACAAATAAAAAAACGACCTGAGTCATGAGATCATGATAACTTTATAGAAAACAAATAAAAAAATTATAAATTTCAATTCTCAATCAATCAAGAATGGATTAGATTGAAAAAAATATAATTTAAAAAAACAAAACAAATATCCCAAGTCAACCTAAATTAACATACAAACCCTAGTCATAAGACCATAATAAATTCATAGAAAGAAAATAAAAAAATTATGAAATTAAATTTCTAATCAACTCAATATTGAAGAATGAATTTTAAAAAAATATTTAATTAAAAAAAGGACATAGAAAAAACCTTAATCAACCTAGCTAACTAGTAAAACTCAAAACGTGAATTATGAGATCATGATAATCATATAAAAAAATAAAAAATATGGAGCTAAATTTCTAATAAACCTAACATTTAAGGTTAAAGGTGAGAAAAAATAAATTAAAAAATAACAAAAAAATAACTCAGATTATCCTATCAAATATGGATCATAAGTCTAATACCAATTAAATTTAATACCAATTAAATTTAATGTTGGATGATGAAATTAAAAAGTTAAACTTGAAAAAAAAACTGAAGGTCTAATATCCATCAAACCTAATATTAAAATATGGAATTAAAATAAAAAACTTATGGAACAAATTGAAAAAGATTTTATTATTTCATTATTCATTGTTACAGTGAAATACTG